CACGATCGTTCTATGGCGTGTACTCGAAAGCTGTACGTGTGTCATTGACGTCAGCATTCAAATTTGATTGATCGCATCTGTCCGAAAACTGGACGCGTCGCTCCAGGTTAGGCGTCATCTCGTAAACCTGAATTTTCACAGTTCTCCTCTTCGGTTCGGAAATTGGTGATGCGATAGCAGTCTCAGCAACAGTCAGTACACAACAGATTTGGCGACGGGGATAGGTCTTACGGTAAGGTGTTTGTCTCAATGCGCTGACAAGCATCGCCCACGATGGTGGAGGGAAGACCGGCGGTACCTCAAGAATGATCGTGGGTCATTTCATATACACCGGACACACGATCGAATCGGAGAAGACTTTTGATGTTTTTGAACGAAGGAGGCCGATGTTTGGACACTAGCCATGGCCAAAGCGATCGCCATTCGCTTGCTTTGTTACAACCATTTGGCCAAAAAACGACTGGTTCAAGCGGTTCAACTGCCTTGGCCCAATGTGAAAAGCAAATCAGAACAAGTTTTGTCTCCTGACCCAAAGTAAGAAAGGTCACATCGGCTGACACAGTACATGTTCCGACATACACACCACGCATCCTCATGACCTTCAATCTAGCCAATGTCTGCCATTCTGTGAGCATATATGTTGTGTACAACACACTCACACACGTCAAAACAAATGTGTACATATACACGCCGTTGATGATCATTGATTGATCCCATTAACCGGCACCAAAATATGCGCCTGTTAGAGCACAGACATGCTCATACACTATGTGCCAACATGAATGACCTTAAATCAATAAATTCTGCTAACAAGAAATATCGTTTTGTTTCGACATTACCAAATCACATAATCAGAATTCTATCTTCCTTGTTCTGAAGATAATTCCAAAGAAGGCTTTAGGACTAATTTATGTGCGTTCTCCAAACTAAAAAGATAACCAAGCACCAAGAAAACGCACTGCTTTTCACCGACAATTAAAAATGCAAGTTCCATAATAACTGTGTGTTAAACTTAAGAGAAATAGTGATGATCTCTCGCCAAAATTACTATGTAAATAAAAAGAAATATTACAATTCATATAAATCTCAGAAAACAACCATTCTTCCGATAGATTCAAGCTTTGTATTTCAATTTCAAATTTTGTTCAATCACCATTTCAGTTTCGAACACTGTTTGGCACATATGTAACATTTAGCCCTACTTCGATCTGCTGATTCCGTTTTTGTGTAGAAAATTCTTCAAATCGTACTATGCTCGTGTATTGTCAGACAATGAGGTAGTATCCACCGGTAGGTGTACAAAACTCATTGGATCACATCGTATTTGTAACGCCTCTGCCGAAGCTTACGCAGATGTGTTACAGTTAGCGTAATGTTCTACTGTTTCTCTTCCTGCAATTAAAACATAGTGCTTGGAAACTCTTTCAAGTGTTATACAGTACAAGTTACCATCAGTGACTGAACTTCAAGCGAAATCCTATGTTCCAAGATTTATGCCAAGGTAGAATTCACTTCATCTTAACTGGGTACAACACAGAACAAAACTATAGTCTACACAGTTGAACAGGGCATCGGGTTGTACACGCACACTACAGGGCCGAATCATCCCAAGTTTTCCATTGTCAAGTCAGCGATAATGTGAATGGTGGCTCTTTTTGCGCACATACACACAGATAAAGGCCAGGTTTCCATTTTATTAGCAGTTGGGGGTTGAAAGAGAAGACTGTCGTGGACCTTCTTCGTAGGGATATTATATGCTGCAGGTGTTTTGCTCAGGTTTCTAAATGAAATTCCCAATGGAACTCCCAAGGTAGCCCGTTTTGCCTAATCACACGTCATGTGAATGAATAGCTTTGAAAGAACAAATAGGCAGTTGCATTCACGGTTACAGGAGTATATCCCATGTCGGGTTAGACACCGATTGACCAAATCACATGATCAAACNCTTTGATATCTCATACCCATACATTTACACATGTATCACTCACCACTAACACAATAACACTGTTTTACATTGTATTGTGTATAACCTTTACAATCACCGAAGCTTACATTTCATTTGAAAACCTATGTATATACCAACCCTCACATAAGAACATGATCAACGGGGAGAAAATGTTTACGGACATGGGGACATTTCACAATCCGGGGTTGACAAGGTTCACGTGTGACACCTTTGTTGGCGGGTAAACGGGTAATACAGGGTATAGGTGGATTTCGGTAAGCGTAAGATGAAATTTGGCAGCATCGGGAGTGTGAGGCTTAATATTTGGCTACTGGTTTGTTACCGACACCTACNACCCTGAGTTTATTTAGTCTAAACATGACACATGAACACTCACTTTTGAGTATACAGTTTTCAGTTCCGTAACTGTCTTTGTTGCATCGATCTCTAATGTCAAACGTTTCGTTAAGTCTGGATTCGGAACATCGTCTTCTTCTAAACCAACTTCTAGTGTAACTTGTGCGGTGCCTTTTCGTCCCGTGTCCTCGATAGGTTGTGTCCACGGTCGGGCAAAAAACACAATTCGAATCTGATAAAATAGATAAGGGACAATAGTCAGTAGTCAATAAATTTTCAAAAAAAAGTGTGATAAATTAGGAAATCGGTCTCCTATGATGAAACCGCAAAGCTGTGAGCATTTTTCAACAAGACTATCAATAACTAACGCTGCTTTAAAGGTATAGACCCAGGTGGGCGAATTCATTTCTCTACGGAACCGAATCGGTGATAAAGTGTAATTTTCATTAGCACTTAATTCTTCTGCAGTGCACATGCAATAAATTTTGGAAGTTTCGTTCCAGAATTTTGTCAAGGGAAATGAAATAGCTACACAGTGATTTCAGGACTGTGCAGCAACGGTTGTTTGTGGCTTGCTTTAAGTGCAGAATGAATTCATTGTAAATCATGCATTCTGGCACCGCTTCAGCGCATGGCATCCTCCTGTTTGTCATGCTCAAAAGGAGCGAATATTTGGGCAAGAATATACAAAAGCTTTATAGAAAAACTTACCCAACTGTCGGCTAATCCTTGTGAGCAAACGTAACCAAGGTCGAATTCAAGGTGTGAGACCAAAGAAGTATTTTGCGAGCTACAATACAAAATTATGAATTTATCCAATCTGAATAAGCGAACAACCGGAAAATTTGTTGTTCATAACATGTAACACTTCAATGACCCGCAAAAGCTCAATATGCACTACACTGTGTCACACTCAAAAACTGGAACGTATCAGCTGTAATCCTAGAAATGAAAATGTGCAATCGGCTAGTGGAAGAATTACTGGCTAGATTTTTACTGCAACTAACCTTAGAGAAAAAGAAGTGAACCGCGAAATTTGCGTTGTTTTTTGATGTCGGGTAAAACATAACGCTTGCGTTTCATCACAGTTCTCTATTAACGTTGTCAACAGCACATCGGAATTACCGTAATATCAAACAGTGAGTTTATACAATTCGTAAGCTATAAAGTTCAGTTGAACACGCTCATTTACCTTTTCTGACTTGACGTCGATATGCGTTTGTCCAGACACCAAATTGAATTGCCATGCGCTTGAACATATGCTCCGCCCAAATCCACGGGCCACTGAGAGGAGTCGATCAGATTGACAACAACTGTGTACGAAGCACATTTACGGTCGGGAATGACAATTTCATACATGAATCGCGCTGTTTGACCCGGGGCGACGGGTTTTGAGTCTTCTTTGTCCGAGCGAGGGTTAAAATCAAGCGTTTCTAGTTTCAAAGACGTGCTCCTGATTGGGGTTGATGTTTGTAACTGAGATAACAGAATTGATACGTACATGAGCTTCTAGCGATCAATGACTAAATGTTATCGATCCATGGATAAACACTAATCCTTATTACAGATGAAACTGAAACTGCTGTGATACAAGTATTACCTCGACATGCTCAACATGAAGGCATCATAGATTCTGGGTGGTTCTTGAAGTGTAAACATCAGTGCTTGCACAGGTAGAATCAGGTTATACAACAAAAGCTACTATAATCAAAATTTCAGTAAAAATGGGACAACAAAGGAGCGTTAAGCCAAAGAAGAAAATTGGAGCGACTCATCATTTAGTTCAAGGAGCTTAAGACTACCGATTCTATCAGGGATGATTTTATTAACTTTGTTACAAAATCCCGTTCAAGCTTTATCTACCGCCCTTTCATCGTGTAAAATAATTAAGGAAGTTCCGCAGTTCTTTTTTCTGTTTATTCTGAAACCTACGTGATCCTATCTGTGTAGGAAAATGCAAAATGATTTGGACAAGAAAAAGTAAGGTGAATTTTAGAACCCCTTGGAACATGGTCTTTCCAACTGGACGGTACAAACAAGCATATGGAGATCAAACCCAAAAATCCCCATATAAAACCCAAATTTTAGGAGAAGAATTGTTTTCAATAACTCATAATCATGCCATTACAGTTTATATGAGGGAAAAATCCTAGGGGTTGGGAGGAGAATAATCGAATGTAAGGAATCGTTCACTTTGTGTATGCGTTTCTGTGTTTGCGTGTACACTCTCAGATCTATTTCTCCGGGGTTTACAATTATGTCACGACGGTCGTATGACCCAATTCCGAGAGATTGGTGTTGTTGTGTGAAAATGTTTGTGTTCGGGCAGTGGGAACATGGGTTCACGAACCCAGTGAAGATGAAGACATTCCTGAGCCCATAGTTCGGGGGTCAAATACTTAATACAGATGGCCTCGGCTATGGCTAACGTACGCATTCTGACGTACTTGGACCGATTCGGGGGCACCTGATAAATAATGCGGAATGCTTCACGTGGATTAACACCGTGACCAGTGTCTACCACGTGAGCGAGAATCGCACTGGTGATAGATCCGGAGCAATCTCGGTTCAGCCAGCGGAATGGTGTTCCTTCATGCGGATAGATAACTACCGTGCCGTACGACCGAGTGCGTCACAAACGCATCTGAACGAGTCAGTAATCATTAAAGCGGGCAACATCGGTAGGTTATCTTTATTCCTTAAGGTTATCAATGGCGAACTTTTGAAAGCGCAGTCTGCGCCATCTGAAACCGTTTTGAAACCGGTTTAATCCTGAATGAACTTAGGTCGGCAAACCAAAGTTTAAAATAAACATGTGTTGGTGATAAGACTTGCTTACACAAAGTTTCAGTGGGCATGATTGTGATCTTAACTGGTCCCTTAGTCTACTGGTGTAGACATTCTAACTGAATATCCGTGTAGCGAACAAGACTTTGCAGCCTGATTTTAATCACCGGTTATAATTTACTCCGCATCCAAGCGGGAGAACCCTAAGATTGGACCAATCAGTGAAAATGAGTCTTATTTACCGGAATCTGTTTAATATCAAGCACGTAGGACGGTATCCAATTGACCAGTGAGTATCCGTGGAGAAAACAATATTCGTATTCTAAGTCGGTTGCGTCTTCTCTGTTTCTGTATTTCCACAGGCAGCCATTGTATAGCCACAGCTCCCTTCCTAAAAGTTGACTGTACATTTTTATATCCATCAAATTAAAAAGGAAGTAAAAATACATTTCTTTGTCATTTTGCCACACTCCAACCATCTGATGTTAGAGCATTTTGAACGATGCAAAAAATGAATGAGGTGAGTGAGTGTTTTGCTAATCAACAACTCAACAACTGTTAACTATTGAACAAAACACAATGAGTATCGAGGAAAAATCATTTTATTGGTACAATAATGGAACTTTATGGCGGAATACTGTATCAATTTTAGGTTAGTATGATTAATATGAGCGTGATCACTGAATACTTGCAATGTGACTCCGCAACTAAAGATATCACCATGATCCGGTGGCACATAATGAAATTAAGTGAACCGAATCGATCGTTTTCAGAATGATTTAGCGTTGAATTTGATGTATGCTGACCGCTGATTTTACTGAAAATGTTATGACGTTTACAGTTATGCATATTTCATGCGAGTCCAGTGCTTCCTAGCTTTTCAGTTCACACTTTATTTGCTATATACACGACGAATTCCCGTATGGTGTTATATATATCTATATATATCTAATAACAGTATTTTCTAGTGATAGGCAATGCATTTCCCCAGGTTACGAAAAGTGATCAATCTAAATTTAGGCAATACGCCCTGTTCTATATAATACCGTTTATAATTGCCTAAAAGGTTGAAGAATTCAACGGAACTTATTATCACATATATACTGATAACTGAAGAAAGTATAATTATGATGAAAATCTGTTGCACAATTGACCGTATTGTTACAGAACAAATTAACCGAAACAATCATATTTTCTATAGTCACGTGAAGAACTTACTCCTTGTTCGAGCTCTGGAGTAATGAAAGTCGGCACCTCGTCAATACCATGCTTCAGCACGACCGACACAGAAGCTGTTGTCCCCGTTGTCCCCGTGTTGATAACCGGTATGAGATAGGCCATGCTATCCAGTGAAGCGCTGGATGCTTTGTAAAACAGAAAATAATATGAATATTGCAGTTGACATTCCCGACCTATTGACAGTGACCAAGGAGCCCTAACTGAAACTTACGAAATATGATCTCAAATAAATTTGTGTTCATCATGAAGCAGGTTAGATTAAATTCATTAATAAAGTTATAAGAAAACGAGTTGGTGAGCTAATAGTTGCTTGCAGATATTCGTAGTCATGTTGTTACACATCATATAGCGGACACATTCTTACGTAATGATAGCCATCGGCCATCAATCGGAGAGAGAGGGTAAAGGATGTACAGGTATTGACCTAACTTGTGCAACATCGTGATTTTCATCACATTTGTTACTCTCAATGCTTCCTTTTCTACAGCCTCATTCATGGGATTGAATAAGATATTGTATCACATCACACGCAACACATCTGATATAATACCCACTTATGTCTATGCTTTTATTAGCCACGTGCCATTCAAATGTACTATTTCTTGATTTTGGCAAAAGTTGCTGGTGCATCAGTTGCAAAATAACAAAGTCACCGTAGAAAATGTGACTAGAATTTTTTTATTAAAATGACTCATAGACTTCATGCAGGCGTTGTACTTTCATCTCGTCTATGTTTCAATTGTCCTTCTTTATTTTTGAGCTGTGGAGGCAGTTGCTTTAGGATGGAGTCCATCAAGTTGACAATAAAACACAGTTTGCAAGTTTACTCTAATCCACCGCGCACCCTAACCACTGACGACCGCTCTGGAGACAGCTTACTTATCCCTGTTTCTGGTACAAGGACAAGTTTTAACTTAAATTAAAATCCCATCTACTGTGCGGTAATCGAATGAATTTGACATTGAACTTGACCCCTCCAGAGACTGGATAAATGTGAAAAAATAACATAATTAGGTCTCACTGTTTTTTACTACCAACCCCAAGCGAGAAGATGTACCAGCCCTCATCTGTGAAAAATATGAATTCCATGAATGCAATTAAAGAGTAGTCGTTACCGAAAACCTCCTTCATCAGTGCAAAACATTTTGCGATATCCAGCGAGGTGTTTACAGGAGACAAATAAAAAGTATTTCCTTACTTCTTTTAACAGTTTAAACGAATTTTGTTTTAGAAAACTAGCTTGGTAGATTAGCTTTCATCGGGTGCTGAATTACTCGTTGGCCACCAATGAGATAAACCCATTGCCAAATTGACGGGCGACGCTATTTATGGCTGTTGGTAAAATCAATACGTGCTCTGCTTTGTTGGTCGTTCAATAACGGCTTCATATCACGTGGTCTCAGCTGTACTTGATATTGAACTACCATTTTCCAATCGAAAGCGTGAGGAATACATGGTTAATCAGCCTGGACTATCCTCGAGATTGGTTTTATGCAACATTTCTCTCCTGTGATCAAATACAACTATCGTCCTGCTTTGATATGATCGGTTTTCTCTCGCTCGGTTTATGTCTTCGAAGAGAAATTCCGTTGAGGGTGCAAAAATTGGGCTCGCGTTCACATCAAAGCACTTGCTCATATCAGGAACTGAGTCATCGCACTTATATGCTTCTCGATTAGGTTACCTCTCCGTTTCAATTGTATGCCAAAACCTCCTGAATGTTTCATCGGGTTTGGGTACGGTGAGATTACAAGACGTTTATTTAATGAGCCACACATCTCAAGGTCCACGTTTGAAGATGAACTTGGACTATATTTTCGGTTCCTTCAGTAATGCAGATAATGCGTGTGTGGTTTGTAGCCAAATCATTATGTAGGAGTTTTACCACTATGTGCTATGTCAGAGCATGGCTAGGAATTTCCAAAAACAATTGTTCCCTCACCGACTCGTTTTCTCAATGCTATCAAGGAAATAAAGCTTAAGGCTGGCGTTATAAACCTGGAGCGGGTAAAATGGTTTCATAAACATTTACTTGCACAACTATTAATACAGTAATTCTGTCTTACCAGATTTAGCACGTCTATTTGTTGCAATTACTTGCTTCATTACCGAGACGATATCTACTGCTTTCAGTTTCATTTTGTATGGTTTTGTAAATTTGAATCCAAAATCATTGTGCATAAAGCTGTTACTGACTTCACATAATGTATTGGCATGATTATGAATCAATGAAGGCGAAATGGTTCGCTAACCTGTGTTCGTTTGAATTTGAGAAATTGTTCAATTATTCACACAATCAGGCAGGAGAATACCTGAAAGCTCCGGTGTATATTGTCAAGGCTCATTCAACTACCTGCTCACTGATTCGTGGGTAAACATTTTGTGTCCATAGAAGTGTCATGCTCTTTTTCGTTCTGTAGCGTTCTTTTTAATTTGTTCCGATCTGCATGAACCCCGAGAACTGGCATCTGTTAACTTAACTGAGTTATGATATATTCCACCACACAAAAGCAAACGCAATGTTATTTCAGTCATACAGCGGATAGTTCTTTAATTTTATCGAATTAGACACTGGATGGTAGAATGTTGTGCTACAGCGTCCAAAACGATATCAGCGGTGAAACTTTCGATGTACCTTGACTACTCATGAATAGTATAAAACTGAATGAAACATTCCAATGAACGGAGTGGGAAGTTTTGCACTGCTGCTAAACTGCTCCTTGGGGTTATAAAACCATAGGTGAACTGTTCGCATGATACGGCCTGGTGGAAAAATTTCCTGTCTCTTAAGGTAACCGAATCTAAGTAGTGATACGGCTTGTCGTCCATTCAATGGGTGTGAGAGCAAAAGGAACAGCAAACATCAGTTGTCAGAATGTGATCATTATTGTTAATTTTGTGACTTCCGTGATTATCGAACATACAGGAGTACGGAGAGGCAATACATATATATATATATATCATAATTAGTAGTATGTGTACGGATGGACAAAATTTCCTTGGAAGCACAGGACCGCTTTCGCGGTTCTTGCCGCTCGTCAGGCAGGCGTGTCGGGTTATCTTGTGTCAGTTCATTCAGATACTTGTACCCAGGATGTGTATTTTCGTCACAATAACCTTGTTTGCAACACCGGGTAACCATCGGATACACAGTTCTTTCAGAGCCAGTTCAATGAAGAATCAATGCCATGATTCGATGTTTTGTAAGTGGGTATATATATATATATATATATGTATATATATAAAACGGACCGAGAAAAATTAAAGAGACCTTGATATTTTACGCCGAATTGTCACTTATAAGTCGTGTTTGTTTGATCTCTATTGACGAAATGATTGCAAAATTCACTTATGAGAATAGGTACTCCGGCGTGTATTTTGTCATTGAGATATTAGTGACGTTTCATATTCCGCCTTTGACGACCTGCCCTCTTCATTACATTCTCTTCATTACATCTTTGTTCGACTATCTGACTGTCAATGCGGGCGTCTATCGACAGACACGGATTTTTTATTCTTGGTTCCAGCTTTCCCACTGAAAACAGGTTGAGATCAATGTCTCTTTTGATCAAATTGAGGAATTTACTGAAACTATTGTTTCCAAGATTCAGTAGACTGGTTGACTTGATGGTATTTTTCCGGTAAATATTGCCAAAAAGAACTCACCGGAAATTAACATTCTGCTGTCTGTGGATGCAAAATCCTATGATCCAATATTCAGAACTGATGATACGGTGATTCAAAGAAAGAGAATCTCACTCCATCGAGACTAATTACATTCTTATCATGTACTTGTTTACTGGTTTGAGCTATTACAATAATAAATTATCGGTTATGGTCCAACAATACACAAACTTAAATGTGTGTTGAAAACATTTACCTTGGAGCGGTGGATGCGCTGAAAGTAAATGGTGTGTGCTACTCATCAAACTCATCTTTTTATTTATCTCATTTACCATATCTAACGAGCCACATAAAACCTGACGTAGAACGGTCGATACCAGCCGAATATATTCGAAAGCGGATCAACCAGCCAATCACCGTTTTCCTCTGCTGCCTGAGATGGTTGCAAGTAAAAATGGCACAATTGAAGACTTTGAAGTGCCAAGTTTCATAGCAAAAACAGCGGAATGCATAACGTGCACTGTACCGGTCGGGAATAACTGTTACTGAAACGAACAACGACAGCCTCCTTTCAGTTTTAAACATGTGTACCATGCATTCGTAACAGGAAATTGAATGGAAATTCCTGACAGTATAACTTACTTTCATAAAACATGTTGCCTAATGATATTTCAATCGTGGATGATGTAACAGTTGGCGCCGCAGAATGAATCATGCCAACCAGGTCACTTAAACTGGTCAATCGGGGTTTACATAATCGAGCACTACTGTCCGCGCCGGGTAGACTGACGCTCAGAGCATAACGCTGCCTTGCTCCCGGTTTGATTGACAAGACACTCCTAATAATGTTCGGCCCAACGTTGTACAAATTTTCTGAACCGATGTTTGCCACCATGGTTTTTTGGATTGGCCTTTGATCGGTGGGCTGTGAACAAAGGGTGTGTGTGTGTGAGAGAGAGAGGGACGGAGCAAAATACAGTTGATGGGAATGTACATGAATCTAGATTGCTTTCCTTTCTGTACTAACACGTTTATTCAAGCAATTTAGAATCTTCACTCTACTCGAGACAAATCACGCACAAGTCCATTACTGTGTCGACGAGAACCATCCATATCATTCATATCACCATACCAAAATGTTTCTTACATTGTAACAGAACCCTCGCAACCTTGTGATTCAAATACACTTAATCTTTTTGTATACTTATTTTCTCACCAGTTATACACTCCTTCTTACTTCTACCATTCCCAGACGAAATCTTTCTTCATGTCTCTGGAATATTTTAAGCAATATGTTTCACGGCGGTGACACTAATGCATGCCAACTTGTGGGGCATCTTTCAGTCGCAATCTGTCGTCAATTCAGACCACAGTGTATCTACACTCTTTAGAGGGTACTGGCTGAGAGCATTTCCGTTTCCTGGATGAGAGGTATTCACATTTATCGGTTCCTTTATACCGTGATATCCACTTAGAAAACGTAAATCTCCGTTTGTGTAATACTTTCCATATTCAAATGGTGAACTTCGCGGCTAGTCACATAGCGACAAACTGGTAAATATTTGACTGTAAATTTGCATTCATTCCAAATCGGAATGATACATCAACCGAATTCTTTCTTCTTTGCAACCGTGAAGTGAATCAGCTGGTTTACATATATGACTGTGTGTTGTTAACGAATGTGAATGCAATTTAATTACTTATGGTTTGCAAACATGACTTCACCGGATTACGTTTCACATTAGGTTTTAAACCAAAGTGGAGTTCCAGGGAATCCGAGAGAGAGACTTGTGCGCGAGTTGTCCCCACGAACTATGGTCTTCAGTTGGTCGAAACTAGTTGGGAAAAATTCTTATTTGTCATAACAGAAATAAAATTTATAAAAGCTTTGAAAAAATAGTAAAGGTTTTGCAGAAAAGCAGATAAGGAGTAGCATTTGCCATATATTGACTCATTTATCAGACTTACATACAAATTTTCGAATTCTCACTTGTTTGTTTTGACTAACCGGATGTTTTGTGTTACCGGTTCAGATGCATAAATGAGTTTGGAAATCTATCGGAGCATGGAAATCTACGTTGCTGTTTCTGATGTCACGTTCATGTAACTATATCCCTGGGCGGTCTTGATAAACCACAATAAGAGCAGCCGTCTTATCGACATCATAACGTTCACAGTGGGCTTACTCTTTAGCTCGCAATACATAAAGACTGATCAGTGATTTCCTGATTTCTGATTGGCTGTTTGATTAATTCCACACCCTCTACATTCTACTTGATTGTGTCCGCGCGTTTACGTATGCGTACGTTTGCTCTCTTGATCGTTTTCGGCAGCCTGTCTTATCTTGTTAATAGACGTTCAGTTCTGTTTTAACCACTTCCTCGATACATTCATGTGCATTTTCGCCCATCCTTCATATGGTGTCTTCTTATCACGTTAAGGGGACGCATTAATACCGAAGTGCTTCTATCGTCCGGAGTCTCACGAATCGAGGATTTTTTCCTTTCGTTTAACTGCTGTGTGTGTTTCTGATGTGGTATCACTAGTCATTTTCAATATGTTTTCATTTCAGTTTCGTACTTTCACACATTTGTTTTAATTACGTGCAAAAATCGCTTTGAACTTCAGGATTGGGGAGATTTCTATCATCACATTCAATAACCCGTTGATAAAACATTGGCTGTCAATGGATCCATTTGTGGAAATTTCTGAACGGAACCAACTGATATGCATTAATAGGAGCTATCAATAATGATATTCCTCATGGGGTAGTGAATTTCTTAGTGTGCAGAGAACTTACAGCTTGAAACGAAAGGTAGAAAGTACAGGTGTTTCGTCCTGATCTGGTCGCATCAGTGGTGCTAATCGATCGACCCAACTTAGGATTGAACACATGAACTCATATGTAGAACGCTTGATCACCAGCACCTGACCAAACCGTGTTCCATTTTTTTACGCAGGATATGGCATAACCCGCGTGCAAGTGTTTTGCGTGTCTCGCCTCACTCGTTTCCGCACTAAACCCCGAGATTATTACTCGAATAGAAACAGTCCGAACGTGATTATTTGTAACATGACGGTGGTTTGATTCGATACCAAAATTAAAGATTTGATGTTCCTGAAAATTGCAATCTATTTTGGTCATCAAAGTTACTATCCAATGGATCTATACCTGCAAAAATAAAAACGTGAAGGAGGGACGTTTACCAGCGGCAATGTTGACTGAGCGCTGATGGTTTCTATCCTGACTGACTCGGTTATCTTCTCTCCATTCACTTCCAGAGAGAAATCCAGTGTTGTGGACTCGACTTGTGTATTGCTCACAACCACGAGCAGGGTCAGGTCCAGATTTAGCGAACCACCAGAGCAGGCAGCGTACAGAGAGTTCATAGCAAAAACGGCTGAATTACTGGGTGAAAAAGATATTGCAGTGAACTGAAATCAACCAATTCAACACTGAAAAATATTTTCGGATATTATCTTCAACTTAACCCTGCAGACCCATAAGGAACATAAACAAAGACAAATGATCTATAAATGATGATGTTTTGAGGGCTATTGTCATTTAGGGTTGGATTATAGCAACTTATGCACACAAACATAATTAGTCGAAAAAACCACCGTTGCAATACTGCCGGAAAGATGAGAAAAAAAGCGACATGGCAAAAAACAACGATTTTGTCAGTCAGGATCCTAACCAGATACGGTGGCGAGGCGGTCCTCCCATACACCGAATACACACATACCGAGGAATGGGATTCATAGTTCAATGTTTATTAGTTAAAGGCTTTCCGAATCGAATGGCGTTTAGCCTTGGCCTAAGGTGACTGGAAACTTTCATGTACACACACACAGGCAATATCGACAAAAATATGATCAGGTGTCCTAATGCGTTTGATAATTGTCAATTTAGTTTGTTCTTTTACGTACACAACCAGGGCGAAGGATTTTATCGTTAGATAAATCAGTGGAAACTGATTCATTTCAGCTTGCCAACGATAGTGTAGGCATGTACAAAAAAATTATCATTATGTGATATCATTTTTTAAAGATATTTTCCGACAGATTTGGGAACAGTTATGAAGTGAGACACAGTAGAGTTATTTTCGGGGTTAAGAGTACGTTACTGCTCGACATATTAATTATGTGATTTTCATTTGAGATGATGATGATGATGAAAAATGGGTGAAAATCAGAATACTTCACATGACGAATAGAGTACGTAACAAATACGTAATCAACTTAACTTGTAAAAAACCGGAGCGTGTTGTTGTACGCTCGAATTATTGTTTGACCCAACGAACTGTCTATTATTCTACACGGTGCAATGAATTAGATAACAAATGTGGTGGTTTCACACCCAAATGACATCAGTCACGTCCTAAATGTGACCGTGTAAGCACATGCGAATTTCCATTCTATTCACAATGGGGGCAGTTAGAATACATCTCTGCCAAGACAGGGATAGTTTGAATGACAGATCCTTTTTCACACAAACAGGCCAGGTTTCTTGCTTTGGCCGAATTCGCTTAACGTAACACCAGTTCTAAGTTTACTGAACAGGGAGTAAGCAGCTCTCAAAGAAACCCAGGTTTGAGCGATTACCTGTTTTGCTCTCAACAACCATTGTACGTATAGTAGAAATGGGATGTCAGACATTGATATTGTGGTTTAAACACACAAAATCCGGACCAATAAGTTTGCAACCCTTGAGGTTTCATCACTAAAGCCCATATAAATGTTTTCATAACAAATCATATGGTGATCAAACAACAAAATTCATATTCGTCATTGCTTCCCTTCCTCAACTGTTAGACATGGAGCGAAATTCTATCTGAAAAATGAGAGCAGGTTATAAGTAACTCACGCTTCATAATAAATCGGGATTCCGGCCACGATAGCGTCTTGGAGACAACCACCAATGGATGCGACAGAAGCACTCTGTATTTCTAAACTTTGGCTCCCAGGAGTGATCGTTCCATACACCGGAGAATAGGGAAAATTTTCTTTGAAAGTTATTTTTGCCTCAACCACTGCCGGATAAGTTGCTTGAGGGTTTGTGGTGACTGGATCAATAACTTGAATCTTAAAAGCAGGCATTTTACTAGCCTGAAACGAAATAAAAGAAATTGCAAAGGATTGCAGTTATTCTTGCTCAATTCGGGTTTGCTGCGGTTTAATAAAATTCAGTTTACCCGAACTAGGGAGAACCGATTTTCAGTACATTGTCAATCGTCAGCTTTATCTCACACATTTTCAGCAATTTTCAAACACCGTTAACCAATGAATGAACAAGTGTGTCTTACAAATTTATGAATGAACTAACCGTTTGAGGGTTATCGATTGATGTGATTGCGTTTATACTGATCGCAGAAGATCCTGGCGTTCCAAATCCCCCGGACCATTGCGGTGTCACAGTGAATGAGATTTGATCACCTGGTTGAGCAGTGTTCGAGTCGAACGCTGCAATAGTGACTCGAATCCTGACGATATGATTGGTTGTCGTATCTTGGTCGTTGGACACAACACCAAGATGAATCCTTGCCTTGGTTACTTTGTTATACTGTCCCGAGCGTACATACTCGGTAATTAGGGGTAGCTTGGAAAATATATTTGTTGGCAATTGGAAGGGAATGGAGTTCAAATTATGAACCGATGGTTATCATAGTTA